ATTCATCGACGTTATTTCCCACGGGAGTTTCCCCCTGCAATACATGTCAATGGGTTTTCCATATGCTAAGTCCATAGTTCTTATTCATCGACGGTATTTCCCACGGGGTTTCCCCCCCGCAATACATGTCAATGGGTTTTCCATACAGCTGATGAACATACTAAGGGGTTTCCCCAGCCACACATGCACTAAAGGCAATCATGAGGGGAATAGAGTATAGCGAATGAACACTCAAGTTCATTAACACCTACAGGTTGCGGGCCTGCTAATGTTTCCCACTGGACTGTCTAGAAAGTCCGTGGTCGTCATCCAAACTCTGCTAGATGACTGAATCTCAAATCACATCGAGACCTCTCATCACTTTATTTTATCACACACCAACTATTTAACTCATAATCTATATCACTAACTCATGAAGTTCGTCCGATCACTTCATAAAAGAACAAAGACTCCAAAGCTCTTCCAAATAAAAGTATATGGAAAATACTGATAAAGTACTCCCGTACGCTCCCGTACCCCGACACGTAATAGTGTTAAAAGGAAGAAATAATGGATGAACACATAGTTCAAAAATACCTAATGAACATATAGTTCAAACATACGTACCGATTACAAGTCTACTAACGTTCCACTGGGCTATCTAAAATAGTTTGTGGCCGTTGTCTATACTCTGCTAGATGACTAGATCATCTTAAACATCGATACCTCTCATCACTTTTATTTCATCACACATCATCTAATTCATCTACCCATGCTTTACCCAACATATTTGTAGATAAAAATATATATACAGTTTAAAACTTGTATAAAACATCAATTCAACAGTCACCTCAAATAAAAAATTAATATATTTACACATAGCACGTATTTTAAGGTAAATACTTCATATCTATGTGTAAGGTGAAAGTGACTACGCACTCACCTGATTTAATGAAAATCGGGCAGCAATTCGTTTCCTAAAACGATCGTTTCTAATAAAACCGGGAGTTTTATTGAGAAACCGGGCTCTGCGAAAGGTCGGGCTTCAAAACCGAAAAGATAAATTTTCCGGGCTTCTCGGGCACTTCGTGGCGTATTCCGGGGGTTATAATTGATACCGGGGATTCGAGGGAAGTTGAAATGAAAGAAATATTGAAAAAAGGGCTAAAAATGACAAGTTTTCAAAGTTTACCCGGGAGGTCTCGCACCCTCCTATTTATAGGGCCGAGCCTCCTGATCCAACGGCTGAGAAGAAGCCACGCATCGCAGATCCGAGGGCTCGCAGGGAAGGCTCGCACGTGGGCTCGCACATGGCTGCGCATGCGAGGGCCTCGCTGGAGGCTTCTGATTGGACCGCTTCGGACAGCTGGTGCGACACGCGTCGGGGCGAGGTAAGGCGGCTTCGGATGGAGGAGTCACCTGGCACGCGTCGGACTCTCGGCTGCACACGCGTCACTCCTCGGATGCTTCCACGACTTCGAGGACACGTGGCCGAAGTCCACCTATGCGAAATTCCTCGGTTTTGGGGATTTTTTTCTCGTTTTCGTGCCAAAACTTTTAAAATCCATAACTTTCGCATATGAGCTCCGTTTTTTACGTTCTTTATATACACGCGTAGGTAAAATTACGCTCTACAACTTCCGTTTAGACTTCGTCGGCTAACTTTGACTTTAATTTTTATATTATTATTTTTAACAGACCGGGACAGGAAATCCGTTAAAAATTCATAACTTCTTATCCGACGTCCGTTTTTGTCAGACTTTTTACCGTTGTGCTACTAATGACGAGACCTTCGATTCTCGTTTAGGTCATGTCGGCTAAAAATCACTCGATCTAAAATTCGAATTTTTAGCTGTCTACTGCTAAGCTGAAACTTCGAAAAATCATAACTTCCTCATACGAAGTCAGATTTGGGCGTTCTTTTTATCGAACTTCTCTGTTTAACGAATACTACGAGTTTCGTTTAGATTACTAAGGCTAAAAAGTAGTTTATCAAAAACTCACTTTTTACGACATTCGGCACCGTGCCGGTTTATCGTGAAACTTCGATAGGTCATAACTTTTTCGTTATAACTCGGATTTCGGCATTCTTTATATAACCGTAATCCTTGTCACGCCCACTACAAGTTTCTTAATAGATATCGGCTTTATCTAATATTTAATTTTGACGCTCATTTTTATTCTTAATTATTTAAACCCTAATAATTAAGCATAAAACACATAATTTTTCACATAATTCCTTTTCATTTCTTCTAAATGAGTTACAAAGGTTAACCTAGACTATTATGTCAATATTAATGCCTAGCCTAGAAACACGGGCATTACACATTCTACTAACATACTCATAACATCACAACATACACGCACAACCACCACCATACGACGGTTGGTGGTGTCGAATTAGTGGCAGGAAGCGGCAACCACCACCTCACGGTGGTGACAATGGTTTTTCCGACCATATATTGCGCTACAACTCCAAAAACACAATAAGCAACATATATGCTCAAACATATAAACATCCGACCACCTCCTAAGTAGCTGACGTCGCCGGAAACGACGAGATCAGTGGCTATGAAATACCCGACGTCGAACAGATGAGAGGAAAGAAGATGTTGGAGATGGCTATCCTTACCGAGAACTCTCACGTCACACATGTCCTTCTCAACGGCGAACGCGACTTCCATCACTAGTCTCGGTGGATTTTCCGGCGACCCACAACGTCCGACGGCAGGGTAGTGGTGGTGATGTTGCGACGACGACTTAGCAGGTGAAAGGGTGACGGTCGGCTCGGACTTGTTTGATCGGAAAAACGACGAAGAAGGGAGGTGGCGGCTGAGGAGCTACATGTGGCGGTTGCTGCAACTTAGGGTTAGGGTTTGTGTGATCCAACGGGAGGGAAAAGGATGGCACTGGTTTATGTCCCGCTTCATTCCAACTTTCGCTCAATATACTCCTTTGGTCCCTCTTTCCCAATTTCCTTTCAAAACAACTCCATAATTTACCATTTAGCCCTCATGATTCCAAAATCCTTCCAATATAAGTCCCAATAATTACCAAGCAGCCCCTGCCCTCAGAAATCTTTAAAAAGTGGCTCCAAAATTTACACTTAACCCCCACAATTCCAAAAATTATGGCAATTAACTCCCATGGCTAACATCCATAAATTATTATGGATTTAGAGCTCCAATAAAATAATATAAAAATATATTTCTCATCCCGGGGTTCATTTATTTATTTATTTTATTTAATCTTAGTTATTTAAATTCCAAAAATAGAATGTTACAAAATAACTTTTAAATTATGAGTTGTTTTTGTTTAACGCTTTAGAATAAAAGTTTTAAACTTGGATTCTCGAACATTTTTTTTTCCAATACAAGTTTTTTCTTAAAACTAAAACCCATAAGTACAAAACTCTTAAAATTTTAATGTCGAACATACCCATAATCTACATAATTGAATAAGACTATATGGTGTGGTGATAATGCATCATGCGTTATGCTGATTTGGCTGCGGTTATAACATGTCAACAACCCTTCCCCCCTCTCTCTATTGTTATGCTTATGTGGAGTGAATGTATGTTAAGCCGATAACATTGCTTAACATGCTTAAGGAGCTTCTTTATCATTCTTTTTTTATTTTTTTCTCTATAGATTTAATATTATTTCTAAATAAAAAATATAAGAGTGTTTTGGGTGGTGGAGTGGTATGTATTTTCTTTGGTAAGTGGTGTGAAAGTGGCATCAAGATGACTTTATTTTTTGTGTTATGTATATATCCTATAGCCTAATTTTAAGAATATTATGACAGACTAATCAAAAAATATGAAGTACTTATTTTTTTCAATTTATATAAATATTCTTTCAATATTTAATATAACAAATTACAACATACATTCTCATATTAAATTTGAATTTACCCGGTTATTGCATGTTTTATGTGTGTTTACTAAAGCTTTCTACGTGTTTGTCTAACATTTCTAAATTAATTTTTTTAACTGATATAGTTAAATAGAAATATTATTTTATCAATTCATATAATATATGTGTTTGAATCATGGTTGTCAAAACCATGATTTTACTTACATTTGTTTTATATATACTGTAAGATCCTAATCATAAGATCACCATCGGTATCGAAAGATTCTATCAAAATAAAATAGTCTTCAAGTTTGCTCACAAATGTCTTGTTTGTACGGTGACCATTATAACTTAATATTGATTATGACATCGATTGTGGATTTAAACTTTAACTTTTTAAATGGTAACCATGATTTTTGTAGATGCAAACCACAATAATTAAGAAATTAAACATTTTAAGCAGGGGAAGAAATAAGATAATTATTACCACATATACACCTAAAGGCACAAGATTGCAAAAGAGCCTAACCTCTTGTGGCAATAAACTGCTTATTTCAAGATAAATGTATGAAGTTTTAATATTCTACGAGACTTTTTGCGATCTAAAATGTTCGATTGGAATTAAATGAATGATTTTTTAGGCTCAATTTCAATTTCAATTTGTACGAACTTCTTTCATTCTAATCATGAGCTTTATTTTGAATAGAAATGACACATTTGTAAGGTTTAGAAACTAAAAACTTGAAGATGATATAAAGAATAATAATGTGTGAGATCAGAATGAGATAAAATTGATAAATCATACAATCCTAGTCGGATCCTAAAACTATTTTAGAAAAATTGTTAAAAGTTATAATTTTCCAAATTCGTCGTTATTTTCAAATAGTAAGGAAATATTGTTTTTTTTTCCTAAAATTATTTTCAAAAAAATAAATATAATATTGGGACGAATATTTGCATTGTGGTTATTTTCTCATTTTAAATTTAAGATTGCCATTTTATTCTATTTTATATGTGTTTTACAGAGCTTTCTATGTTTTGCCTAACATTCTATAACAAAGATATTCTTGATTATGACTTTTAAAAAAACTAATACGCGGATATTTACTTGAAAAAGGTAAAGCTAAAACTCGAATAATTGATAAAATTGTTTTTGACTTAGATTTAAAGCAGACGACTGGAGGGTTCAAGATAAGAAAGTGGGGCAGCAAGCATCGGATCCTCTCTTTTTCAACCTCAAGGGTGCGCACGATAATCTCACTCGCGTCCTCCGTCACCTTCACCGTCATACAGACTCTTCCCCTGCATCTATTTTCGGAGTATATATATACACACCCACACGCTCTTGTACTGACATTTCATTGACTTTCTTCACAATCTCTCCTTTCTCTCTCTCTATCTCTCTTTACTTTCTCTCTCTAAAAATATCAACTCTATGGACGATCTGCCCGCCGGTTACCGGCCGAACGTCGGCGTTTGTCTCATCAATTCCGATAACCTGGTAACTAATTTTCCTTTTCTGTAATTTTCATTTGCAAATACAATTATGAGGTTTAGAGATTAGAGTTTGTTAATGGATGTTAATTACTCTGTTCATACTACGCTAGTATTGCACTGTTAATTTTTGTATTGTAGATGCTGGACTTGGATTCAATATCAGTGATTTCATCTCCTTTTATTTCGATTTTATGTTTGATATTACGATCCGCTGTTACTTATAAGGCCTCAGTTTTGAAATTAGATATACGTTTCTGATTGATTTTGGAAACCGAAGCCAAACATGATTTGCTTTTTGCTTGCGACTCTGTGAAGTTCTTTTTTATTATTAGTAGTGTTTTTTGTATATTTTAAAAATGATATAATTGAAGGTAGGAAAAACTTATATCATAATGTAAGGAAGTGATTTAATAGGTTTATCAGGTGATTGATTTGATGGTTGATAGCTCTATCTGAACAATGATTGATGAGATTTATTCTTAAAAAAAGTGTGTGAGGAATTGATGAAAGCTTCTCAATGAAGTTTCATTTTAACTTGAGCCTATTTGTTTATTCATCTTCTATGTAATTTTCTAGTCCTCTGCATGTGGTCTTTATGGTTTTGTATCGGATCTGGAGAAGATTGTGTGATTGAATATTTAATTAGTTATAAACTTCTCAATCATTCAACTTTAATTGGATTCGGGCCAGATAAAACCTGCTTAATTTTAATTTTTCATGTGTTATATATTATTGATTTCATATTTTTAAATGAACGATGCATCCACTTCTCTTATCTACAGGTGTTCGTGGCTTCAAGGTTAAATGTACCCGGAGCATGGCAAATGCCTCAGGTGAGACGCTACACTCTAAATTGCTTTCATCACTTTCTGTTTATCAATGATTTGGAATTCCTTTGATTTCTAGATTCAAAAACGTGTGGCTTACTTTCTCATGACCAAATCCTCTTTATATCTTTCATTCAATTTGTAATTGATAAACGTTTTGTTGTTAGGGGGGGATTGAGGAGGGAGAAGAGCCTACTTCTGCAGCGGTGAGGGAGCTTCGAGAAGAAACCGGAGTGGTTTCTGCTGAAATAATCGCAGAGGTTAGAATTAGATTCAAATATAAAGCATTTGTGTTTGATAATTAGATTTCTAAATTAAAAGTATTTTTTTTTTTTTTTAGGTTCCAAAATGGCTGACTTACGATTTCCCTCCTGCTGTTAAAGCTAAAGTGAATCGTTTATGGGGAGGAGGTGAATGGCATGGACAAGCACAAAAATGGTAAATTTCTTCTCAAGTCTTTAACAAAAATGTAAAAAAAAAAAATCATCAATTCCTCTTAATAACACACACCATGAATAAATAACTAATAGGTTCCTGATGAGACTAACAAAAGATGAAAGTGAAATCAATTTGGCAAGTGGTGAAGTTGATCCAGAATTTTCAGAGTGGAAATGGACAACTCCTGAAGAAGTCATTGAACAGGTTAATAATTGTTATTAATCCATCTTTTCTTCATGTTTTATTTATTGTAAACTTGTTTATATGAAACATGCAATAATAATAATAATAATAGGCTGTGGACTATAAAAGGCCAACATATGAGGAGGTTATAAGAACATTCAAACCTCACTTACATGAAGGTGGAAAAGGTGCAGCCAAATGTTTATCAACCAAATGGTGAAGAAAAATGTGAAATGAGGTTGGTGTTTATTTATTTATATTTAATAGTAATTGTTGCATTATAGCTCTACTTGCTCTCCTTGTACATGCATGTGATATGATTAAAACTTTCTCAGATTAGGTGTCCGTTTATTCGTAATGAAATGTTGCTCTCTGCTTAAATTCAACTTCATTGCTTTTATTCTTTGGTGGCCGATTTTGTAGATGAATATGATGATGTATTGCTATATCTCTATTTGAAAAACTTGGTTTTTCACCTAAATTGGACACTTATAATAATAAACATTTGTGGATACTTACTTATGGGGTTGCATTGCGTACATAGAAAAATACAACCCAAGACGTATAGAGAGACTTTGTACTAGGTGTGTTTTGCATACTATGGGAATCGTTTTACTTTATTCAAACAACACGATTATACAATTAAACGATGAAGACATTTTTTATTTGGGTAAATAGCACAAAAGACACCACGTTTACACGAAAATTCTAATTTGACACTGTGTTATTTTTTGTTTTAAATTTGACACTGTGTTTTCTAAAAACATTTTTATATAAATTTGACACTGTGTTTTAAATTTGACACTGTGTTTTCTAAAAACATATAAAAACATTTTTTTTTTCATTTAAAAACCATATTTTTATATAAATACAAAGTTTTTTTTACATTCAAAGCATATGTTTTATAAATATTTTTAGTTATATAATGCGAGCCGAACTAACCATAAACTTCAAATAAGAATAACAAAATTTTATCAGTTATCACTTATAAAATATTATTTATTTTATTTTTTGTTGTAGATTTTACAAGTATTTTTATTTACGATTAAATAATTATAAGGTTTTAAATAGAAAATGATCGACATTGAACAAAATTGGAAAAAATGATTTTCGATTTGGAACAAAAAAATAGAGTGTCAAAATTGAAAAAAAAAATATACTTAATGTCAAAATCAAAAAAAAAATGAAAACTTAGTGTCTTTTGTGGAAAAAAAATTCAATTTTGACACGTCAGCATGTCATGTCAGCATCCCACGTCACCAAAACTGACACGTCATCATGTCACGTCAGCAAGTAACCGGGTTGATCGGTCAAGTGGTCAGAACTGTAACAAATTAGAAAACACAGTGTCAAATTTGAGATAAAAAATAACACAGTGTCAAATTAGAATTTTCGTGTAAACGTAGTGTCTTTTGTGTTATTTACCCTTTTTTATTTGAACAAATTTGATACATAAACCTAAAAAAAAGTTTTAAGATGTTTATGGATGGAGAATAGGCGGTATATTTAATTCTTAGTTGAGTATGATGACTATGAGCTCATGTGAAGATTAATCTAAGTTGGTTTTAAAAAAATATGGTAGCCCAACGGGCCATGTCAATCCACATCATGACCCATATGGGAGGCCAAGCCAATCGATGAACACCTATTTTGAATGTATAGAGTTTGAACCTCAACCTCTTCTATATAATTCTACAAAGGTTATAAAAGTTCGTCATGACTCCAAACCTTGTACTTGACATCATATTTTAACAAAATGTTTGCCTTAAATCATATATGTATATAAAAATTAATAATAGTAAAATTGACGCTTTAAGTCGCGTCTTACAAACGACGTGGCCCACGACGATTCGTAAAAGTTTGAGGATTGATATTGCTGCTAAGTCACACCAAACGTTATTTAGAACATTTAATTCTATTCCCCAACCACTAGACTCTCATCCTAGGGCAAGTTAAGTAATTCTTTTTTAAAACACACCACTCACTTTCTAAAAATCAATCAAGTTGGTTTAAATTTCGTAAATAATGGTTCAAAGTTCTAACAACTAAAACAAGAGCACTAAAATTAAAAAAAGGTTAAATAGATGGACCAATTGCAAAGTTCCCTAGAGTTGTTTACACAATCTTAACTTCCATACGTCTTCATAGAAAAATTAACTTATGAGTAATTATCTTTTTGTTTTGTTCGTATATGGTCAACTTTTTTTTTGTACATATATACGCAACGAACTTATTGGAAGTGTTCACATAAGACAATTATGATTGACTGTAGCAAGTTATAACTTACGTGACATATACATGAAAAAGATAATTACTCAGGAGGGTAATGAACTATTGGTTTTGTTCACATGTAGACAATTTCCTTTTTTTGTTCACATTTGACCATCCAACTTGTTGAAGTTATTCACATAATATGATTTTTTCAGAAATTTAAATAAGCAGATGAAGTGGGGAAAATTGAAGGTTAGGTTTTAGAAATTGAAGTCAGTATTTGGAGTCGACTGCATTCCACACTAGAAGGATTTTGTGGGGTTGAGAGCTTTCTATACAAATCAAATGCTTGTATATTTATTTTCTTTTGTGCGACCGAATTATATTAGTAAAGTGATTAGAGTTCATTTTTAATCTTCTTTTCGAATACACCTAACTTGTGGACATCATCATGGTGAAATTTTAACATGGTCCAAGTACACTAAAATATTTTTCTTAAATACACCTTAAGGGTCTAAGTACACTAAAGGAAACTAAGGTCTTTCCCTTAAAACCGTTAACTCACTAGACCCTATGTTTACCCAGTTAGAACTTTAAAGGTGCACTAGCAGGGGCGTAGCTAAGCTTCAAGAAGGTAGGTCCTAGGACCTACCTTTTTTTTTAAATACAACAAATATTTATATAGAAAATATGAAGGACCTATCTCATTTTTGCTAAAAGACCTACCTATTTTAGTTTTATTTACATAAGGAATTTTAGTTTTATTTACATAAGGAACCATGTGGTTTTTGGTTCTAGATTCGCCACTGTGCACTAGCATACTTTAGGTGAGTGATTTATATGCTACTATGTGATGGGTTTTGATAACTTAAAACGATCTTTTTTATAAAAACAATTTTAACGACAAACGTAAGACTTTTAAAATAACTAGTTTATTTTTAGATCATTTAAAGAAAAATCACCAAGAGGATCCAAATACATGAACTAGAAAGATAATAACAACCATAGGAAGTTAAGGATATAACCTTTGAAGCCTTTGATTCCACTTGGAATTGGGGTGTTGATGAAGATAGCAAAAACTCAAGAAATAGCTTCTCTACAATATATCCACCATCAAGAGTAAAGTACTTGGAATGCTAGTTCCCATCTTGTATGAAATACTTCTTAAGCCTTTAAGTGCTTATCACAAATAAGCACTAAAGGAGAAACAATTCTAAGCACCATTTCTTCACATTACTTCAAAAGACATGGAGAGAGGATGAGAAGAGAGAAGCTACGATTTTTGGAGTTCTTCCAAGGGAAGAAGAGTGATCATTTTGCAAGCAACACACTCTCTTATATACTCCCATGCAAGTAAAGCAAATCCCTTATAATATTCTAAAGTAATATAAAAGAGACTAAGCATGGGGGGCAAGTGGGGGGGGGGGGGGGGGGGGGGGTTGACAAGCACCATCCCATGCCCTTAGACAACATCGACCATATGGTTAAAAAAAAGACAAAAAGTTGGGTTAGTTTCTTTAACCAAAAACTAACTAACTAGTAAGTCCATAGTTAACCAATGTGTCCAAAACTTTGTACATAAATTATTAAATTATACTATATGATATAATAAATAGTTTTTCTCTCTTTAATTATTATTTTCACAAAACAATAGTTATTCCCTAATTAAATACAAGAGTTGATTATATTTATTAATAATCATATTAATAAAAAATATTCAAACCGTGCCACCTTGATAAAGGTGTGACCCTATATGATCATATGTTATTAGCAATATCATTCAATAATGATTCTTGAGCATATACATCCAACAATCTCCCACTTGCACAAGATTCATTACAGATTGACATAGATAGTAGTTGGCATCTAGAAACAAGCTACTACCCCTAACAACACACGAAGGGTGCCATCTCATCAACAACTAATTCCAGGATCTCAAAACTATAATTGTTATTAAAGGTGTGGTATCAGTTATTCCTTTGTCTCAGACATTATATTGAACATGAGATATGGATCATAATCAATCTCATGTGGTGTTCAACTTTTAATAAGACCTTAGATGTCTAACTCTCAACGAATAAAGGTACAAATTGCATCTTGAGTACATACGCCCATCATGTAGTTCAAGTTATACCCAATATTGGCCCTTATAACTGCCATTTACGAAACAACGTCAAACCTTGTCAAAACACAACAATTCCTGCACTCAAGTCCCAAATATGTATCTCAGGTCGAAGAATACAAAGATACTTCCTTAATCAAATATCATTCATGACTACAATCCATAAAGTGATTTTGATACGATTCATGTCCAATACTTGTTCTCCAATCAAGTACCTACGAAGTTGGTAGCAACACTTGCAACAACCCGTTATTTTTCAAGTCAATCAAAGTCAAAACCCTTTAAATAAAATTTGAGTTTTATTTATTTTATTACGATCTTAAGGGTTGAATATGATTTAAATTATATAAATGATGTTTTTATATAAGTATTTGGAATAAAATATACAGAAAAATCAAGTTTTCCCTTTTGAAAACCGCAAACCCTCGGACCGAAAATCTCTTTTCGGCCGAGAACCCTCGGACCGCAAACCCTCGGACCAAAAACGTCTTTCCGACCGAAAACCCAACCAATATATATATGTTTCCCCGAAAAATATGTCATTTTCTCACATTTTCACTCGAAAACACTCCCATTTTACTCCCAAGTATCATACAAGAACCTTCAAACATTCAAGAAAAATCCTTCAAACCTTCATAACTTTCACCAAGAACACCAAAAACAATCTTCAAATCTTCATCTGACCGAAAACACCTTGGACCGAAAACACGTTCCCAACCGAAAACACCATAAGACCAAGAACCTGGTTCTCAGTTGAGGTTTTAGAACCGAGATCAAGGATTTCGGTGAAGGCTAGACCGAAAACCTTATCAACATTCCAAATAATTCTCGGTAATTATTCCTTACATAAATTAAGTGTTGTTTAAAACTTTAATTAATTATTTCGCTAATTTAAAAACGATTACATGTTTAAATAATATCAGCATACCGTAATTTCCACAAACGCTAGCCCGAGGATCATCTCTACAGTTCCGCTATCCAGACTCGAACACACTAGAGGTGAGTTCATACCCCTACGTTTTCACTGTTTTTCAATGTTTTTAGGGGGAATACAAGTAAAACACAAGAAATATTGTGTTAGGATACAAACGATTTCAAACGATTTCAAATCACTTGCAATTACATCAAAACCGTTTTAACTACTGCGTTGTATCAAATTACATTATTAACCCTTTTGTAACATTTTGAGAAAAATGGTGATTTCACAAATCTTGCATACCGATTTATACTCACTATTAAATTGCAAGGGTTTTCAATTCATTACAGAAGATACATGCAACCTATAATAGGTATAGTTTGGGGAACACTACACTGTTTTGTTAAGTTCAATAAATGATACAAGAACATACATTTAAACTATAATAGGTATAGTGTGGGAAACACTACACTATTTCATTACTTCAAGGATTCACTACTAAAATAATTATTTAAGTATAATTATTTTACATTACAAAGTACACTACTACAAGGCAATACATATAGTTTCAAGTACAAGAGAACACTACTACACTACACGTAAACTGGTAAATATAGGGTTGTGAGGCACTACTTCGTTGTACCTATCTGGGTACATGACTAAATCCTATAAATTATAACCAGAGTCTCCTGGATGGAGAGCGTGAATTTGTGTATAGATCTATACGGGACTGACAATCCCGCACCTGAGCTGCTTGCAACAACTAGGCCGGCAGGCCTGGGGTGACAAATGTTATAACATTCCAACGCCTGAAGAACGTCGTAGAGGTCATTAGGTCATATCAAGCATGGTTATATGAAACTCACAATAGTATTAACTAAAACATTTGTTTACGGGATTAACACTACTTCAAAGGTTTTATTTTAATTAATAAAACTACAGTACATTACATTACATTACAGCTGGTGGTATCCAAGCATTCATACAAAAGGTTTTCATACAGTACACTTTATACATTATAGCTGGTGGTATCCACGCATTCATACAAATGTTTTCATACAATACACTACTATACAATACAACTGGTGGTATCCAGACATTCATACAAAGGTTTTCATACAATACACTATTATATATTACAGCCGGTGGTATCCAGACATTCATACAAAGGTTTTCATACAGTACACTACTATGTATTACAGCTGGTGGTATCCAGGCATTCGCACAAAGGTTTTCATACAATACACTACTATACATTACTGCTGGTAGTATCCAGGTTTTCATACAAAGGTTTCATAACAAACATTACTACGATACACTACTTTCCTAGTATCGAGTACACTAATACTACATACAGTTTAGGGAAAATATACACGATATGGTTTTATTCATTAATAAGACTACATATATTATTACAGAGTACAGTAACAAACATACACTTTGGTCTTAAGGCCTAAGACTACTATTCATTACTAAAGAAAATATTGGATTTTCTGGAGGAACATGTTAACACATTTCAAGGAACAATAACAAGTTTTCCATCACAAAAACATACTTATGAACTCACCAACTTAAATGTTGATACACTTTCAAAACCACTTGTATTCTCAGGGAACCGGTAGACAGGTACCACCACAGGTTTTAAGAAGACGGAGCTTTAGAGTCGCGTCTTTTATACTTTTATTATACACTTTTGATGTCATACAAACTATGTATTTAACATATGTAAATACTATAATTTATCAATGTAATGGTTGTGTTTTCTTTGATTACTATTATGCAATTGTTGTGATACTGTACATGACGTCCTCCGCCCTCGAACGTTTCCGTCGTTCCGGTTTGGGGGTGTGACAACACTTGAGGACTACTGTTACTTGGGATCAGTTCTCGAAGATGTTCCGTTTGAGATATGTTCCCTTGGTAGATAGGGAGAGATTAGGAGTACTTGGATCCGAGACAGATGACTGAGATGGTGACGAATATCACCAAGATGTTCACAGAGAAGTGTAACACCCTGTTTAGAATCGTTTCATAACTCGGGAACGTGACCAGAATATCAGTTACCATAAGGCTTTGGACCTTGGGAAAAAAGAGTTTTAGACCCATTTAGATGTGGATAATGTAGATTAGGTGATCCGAGGGTTCGGTTGGTGCTTTGGAGCCCAAAAGGTATAATAATAAAGTGGCGGTATGGGTCTTTTATGACTTTTGGATTTAAGTTCGGAAAGTTTATGGAAAAAGAGAGTTGATAGGATTGTAGATATTCTCCTTACCTTTCTGTGGATATAAGGATCATCTAAATCGAACTTAAAACGAAGAAGTTATGAACTTCAGAAGTTTGGTGGTTTGGGGGCTGAGTCTAGTACGTTGGGCGTACAGGGAGTACGCTGGGCGTACTAGGCTGAATGATCACAGATGGCCCTTGGAGTATGTTGGGCGTACCAAGAGTACGATGAGCGTACTCCAGTCAGGTGCAAACCCTAATTTAGGGTCTTGGACCTTATTTAAAGGCCTTAACTTATGTTCAAACCCTATTATCTTTAGCCTCCATCAACCTTAACCCTAATTTCGAAACCCTAGCCTTCCTTTGAGTAATCTTGAGCCTTCTGAGTGATTTGGAGTGTTTTTGGTACACATTAAAGAGGAAGGATCTCATTGGAGAAGTGTTGGTTAAGTTGGAACTTGTGGATCCAGACTTTGTGCATCTTGATCTATCTTCTGGAGGTATAAAGCTTCAAAATTTATAGTTCTTTAGTGTAGATCTAGTTATGGGTTTTGATAAACATGTTGATAGCTTCATTTTATTACTTATTTCTCATAGTTTATTTTTAGTTAAAACCATCTTATTTTAGTTAATCTTCATGCATATTTTCTCTTTTTGTTATTTTTCTCCTTTATCGGGTGCTTTCCAGTCTTTTGAGCTTAATTGTAGGATTTACCGAAGACTATTTGTCATTGGAGGTATGGAAGGAGTGCGGGACTTTTGGAGGCTTGCGGTTTGCTTGTGGACTTGAAGTGGTGCGATTGGGCTTGGTGTCAACATGATCAAGAGAGCAAATTGGACTTAATTTTAGATGAAGAATGATGACGAGGTGAAGAGAATTTGAGCTATACAAGATTAAAGGAGCATTGGAGCATCGTGGAAGAGTTTGGAAGGCATAATTGGGCTATCAAGAACTTGCACAAATGGGCTGGACCATGGATGAGAAGAGTAATCTATAAGTGCCAATTAAATGGGCCAAAAAGCCCATTCAGCAGAATCCACGCTGTCCGTGTGGATTTACAAATGGTCCGCGTGGATCGCACTGTGAAGGACCCGAATTTTAGCCTTTTGCCTCTATTTGGGGAAAGTTGGTGAGTTACTTTTAAGCATCTTTTTCATCTAGATTTGAGGACCTTTTGACTAAGTTTTGGAGGAAGAAAAGGGGGAATTTTTTTGGGAAAAACACACACATTTTACTATCTTAGAAGATTTGTGGATTTCTTTCATCTTTCATCTTGAACAATGTTTGGTATCTCTAATCTCTCTTGTTTTTGTTTAATCTTAGCCATGCTAGGCTAGATTTATCATTTGGTTGACTTGGATGTAATTGCTTGAATGTTTTTGTTATTTTGAAGAACTCCATGAACTTGTGTTGAATATCTATGATTATATTTTCTATGAAAACTTCATTCATGTTTATATATCTCTAGTCATGAATATTGATATGTGAATGTTATTTTTGTTGGTTAAATTATTGGCTAGGTAATGGGTCTTCAATTTAAGAAGCAACAATTAGTTTAAATATTTTGTTTTCATTTCATTTAGACAAAGAAAATATTTTCTCCATAGTGGTAATGAAAGCAATAGATTACTCTTTGGATTTGGTGACTCTTAAAACCTAATGCTAATTGATTTTCACAAAATTACATGATTCATTAGTTTTGTGACTTTGATTTTGGAAATGTGCTATGAGCTTCTCTAGTCATTTTAATACAAAAGAAGAGTTGAGGCAAGTTATGCTTATAAATTTCTATAACCAAGTTATATTATAAACACAAGTATTGCACCTTGGTATTCTCATGATTATTTAACCAAATGTTCAAGTAATGAAAGTCCAAAGTCAACCATCTTTATCTTATTGATTTATATCAAACTTTGCTTTTGTTGAATTGTGTTTTTAAATCTTAGTGTAATTCTAGTTTTCTTTTAAACATATCAAAAGATCAAAATCCCCCAATTTTATTTTATTTTAGTTTTACAAGTATTTGTACAACAAGATTATCATAGAGTTATAAAATTGAACCAATCACCGTGGATACAATCCCTTTACCACTATACACTATTTTAGTGTGTAATATTTTGGGTATTAATTTTGTTGGCCTCGACAACCACCACATGTGTTTGGTACCATGGCTTGAATTTTTGAGTAGAAGTTACTCGAAAACGTTTATACTTCATATCTTGTCATTTCTAAGCTTGTTATGTGCTAAAAATTGGATCTTTGGGGTTGAAGTTCACCCATGCATGAGTTATTGGCCATTTCATGGAAGTAGAATGATAGATCTAGAATTTGGACCTCTTAGAGCCATGTTATGGCTTAAAGTAATCAAATTTATGGATTAAGAACTTAGCTAGAAGTAGATCTGAAGGGTAGACATTAAGGTCTTAAGGGGTTAAGCTCCTTTGGTTGAGTTTTGGCCTTCTGGGGAGTACGTATGCGTACGCTCAACGTAATGTATGAAATCCCCATATGTAAGCTTCAACGGGTTGTACTTTGCACATCAGCAGACAGTATGCGGGGTGTACTAACCTAGTACGCGGGGCATACTCCTGGAAAGCTCATTATGTTCCTTTTGGGCCTTGGGTCTTTTAGGGTTAGGCCATGACATGTTGGGTCAGATATAGGAAGGGTAAAAATGGTCTTTTACCCATCGGAAGAATAGGATATGGATTCGACCTTGGATTTTCGGAATTGACATTAATTATTGATTAAGATATTTGGTTATGATCAGTATGAGGTTTCCGGTAGCAGCAACGCGTACATCTCGGTTATCTCGGATTGAGGTGAGTCTCCTCACTATACCCGTGGGTCAAAGACACCAATACCGGCCCACTAGGACCTATTATATGCTAGTTGTCTTTGTGTCTATTGCATGGTATACTGGTATAGGCCCATTGTATGACGCGCTAGGCCTAAATGTATGTTGGGTTGGGCCCATGGATCAGGAAGGGCTAGGTCTAATGTATGTTATATAGGGTGCTAGTTGTCTCTATGACTCTTGCATTGTATGTCGGGCTAGGCCCATTGTATGACGAGCTAGGCTCAAATGTATGTTGGGTTGGGTCCAATGTTTAGAAAGGGTTGGGCCCATTATTATAGGTTGGGCCCAATGTGTGGTGTAACAACGTAATTTTTAAAACAATTTTTCATTTTTCAAACACAATATAACTCATATAATATTCTTAAAATCTCATGTGTATCAAATGTCATCCCAATAAAACATATCCCAGAATCTCAAAACATAATCCTCTGCCAGTGTGTACAAATCATGTCGGCGCCTTCCCGCGATCCTCGCTAGTACCTGAAACACATATCACATAACACGGTAATCATAAATGCTTAGTAAGTTCCCCAAAAATACCATATACAACACATAAGCCACTCGAGGCTATAACTCGATAAGACCCTCTGGTCAATGTGTCTCAGTGGGACCCTCCAGTCCCGTAGCACGTTGGACCCTCCGGTCCGGTCTAGCTCGTTGGAACCTCTAGTCTGGTCTAAATCGTTAGACCCTCTAGTTCGATCTAAATCGTTGGACCCTCCGGTCCGGTCTAAATATCACATGGCATACATAATCACAATACACATAATCTCAAGTAAACACATAACACATAAGACCCTCTGGTCTGGACATGGTTACCACTCTAGGTAATGTATAGTGAGAAGACTCACCTCGGGTAATCTCAGAAAGTCTCGAACTTGAAATACTGATCTAGCCTCCGCCTAATCACATAAAGTAATTTACCTCTAATTAACAACGATTCTCAAAGGCTAGACTAATCCCTTCCTATAATCTCGCAGAAGGGGGGGGGGGAACCAAACCCTAAAAGTTAACGAAAGTCAATTCCAGTCAACGGTACAATTTTGACCAAACTCGTCGAGTGCACTCGGGTGACTCGGCGAGTCCATGCGTGTCCTCTGAATCCTTCTAAGGCCTCACTCGACTCGTCGAGTTAACCTTTCACTCGACGGGCTACCACTCATCACGAATCGCGGGGCAACCCGATCCGACTCGTCGATTTCTCTCATGGACTCGGCGAGTTTCCTCCATGACAATGCTCAAACGACCTTCTGAGGTCAGATCTGTTTCTCTAACTTATAGACCTGACCTTCTAACACCCAAAAGTCACGTAAAGGTATGAACTTGGTGTCCATGCATGGTGTATCTTGCATTATATACCATAGAAACCCCATTAATGCTTCCTAGCTTCAAAACCCTATGATTACTCGACTAAAGCTTCATACTTTTTGGCTCTCTGGACCTAGAAAGGTCCAGATCTATAACACAACTAGGAAGAGGGATTTGATGCATTCAAGTCCCAAAAAATGAAGTGATTCAAGCCCTAAACCCAAAAATGAAATCTACACAATAGGGAAGAAGAGGGGTTCGATTTGGTATCTCAGAATGAAGCTCCTTGCTTGACTAACTCAGAACAACAACCTCCTCTGGTCCTTCTTGCTGGAACTCTTCTCCTCCTTTGCAAAATCACACCAAAAAGCTCAAGATAGCTCTTCCTCTCACTCTACACACTCAAACTCGCTAGGGTTCTCTCTTCTGGAAAGGTAGCCGCAATTGAAGGCCATAAATGCCTTTAATAGGGCTCAGGCCCAAAGATTTAGGGTTTCTGCCAACAACGCGGACTCGTCAAGTCGACTCGCCGACTCGTCAAGTCCCTTCATTAATCCGAGTCATCAGTCGCGATCCTACTCGACGAGTTTAGGCGTCAACTCGTCGAGTCCCTAAAAAATAAATACTTAAATTAGGATACCTGGAAATCCGGATGTTACAATTCTCCCCCACTAGAATCAGACTTCGCCCTCGAAGTCTCACTCTGCAAACAACTCTGGACGCTGCTCCCGCATCTCCGTCTCCGGATCCCAAGTCAGCTCGGATCCTCTCCGATGTTGCCACTGGACCTGAACCAGGGGCACCTCCTTGTTCCTCAGAACCTTGATCTTCCGATCCAGGATCGCAATCGGCCTCTCAATGTAATTCAGACTCGCATCCACCTGAATATCCTCTAGCGGCACTACCGCCGTCTCATCGGCTATACACTTCCTCAACTGGGATACGTGGAAGGTATCATGGATCTGAACCAACTCCTCGGGTAGCTCTAAACGGTATGCTACCTTGCCCACCCTGGCGATTACCCTGAAAGGACCAATGTATCGGGGCCCCAGTTTGCCCCTCTTCCTGAATCGGATCACTCCTTTCCAAGGAGATACCTTTGGTGGTTGTCGAGGCCAACAAAATTAATAACCCTAAATATTACACACTAAAATAGTGTATAGTGGTAAAGGGATCGAATCCATGGAGATTGGCTCAATTTTATAACTCTATGAAAAATCTCTTTGTAAAAATACTTGTAAAAATAACAATAAATTAAAAATGGGGGGGGGGGGGGTTGATCTTTTGAAATACTTGAAATAAACTAGAATTAAACTAAGATTTAAATAGACAATTTCAACAAAAATAAGAGTTTGATGTAAAATCAATAAGAGAAGGATGGTTGACTTAAGTTTGCCTCACTTTGACTTTTGATGAACATATCATTAGAATCCAATGGTGCAATACTTGATTTAAATCCTTAATTTGGCTCTAGTAATCCAAGAAGCTTGAGATTACCTAGACTTTATTAGTTGTTAAAATGTTAGAGAAGCTCATAAGAATTTCCTTAGTCAAAGTCACAATTTCCATTAAGCATGTAATTAGTGAAAGTCAACTAGCATTAAGAACCAAAAAGTCACCAAATCCAAGAGGAGTCAAATGCTTTCACTACCATGTTGGAGGAAATGTTTTTATGATTGTGTGAAGCAAAAACAACACAAAAATCATTTGTTGCTTGCTAATTTGAGGATCCTTTACTTAATCAAGAAATTAGCCAACTAATCACCACAAACACATTTAAACTCATGAATAAAAACATACAAGTAGTGATAAGATGTTAAAACACAAAACATTCCCATAAAGATTTAAGAACATGTTCATGGATTCTTCAACATTCAACAAAAGTTCAAAGGATTCAACAAAAGTCAACCAAGATTAGTTTAGCCAAGCATGGCTAAACTCAAAGAAACAAAGTTAGAGAAGATTGTACCAAACATTTAACAAGAATCAAGAGGTAAAGAGATGATGTTCTTAAGGTGTTCTTTGCCTTCAAAAGTCTTCAAAATTCCAGAGAGAATGGTCAAAAATCGGATGTCCAAGAGTCTT